CTTATCCCTGTTTCCTTTTGCTTTCCTCCTTTCTTGGGCTACTTCCAGTGTCTCAGCAGACAACCATTTTGCCTTCTTGGTTTTCTTTTTCTTTGGGACGTACTTTGTTGCCGCCTCCTGAACAATGTCTCGGACTTCTGTCCATAGTTCTTCTGGGACTCCGTTTACTAAATCTAGTCCTTCAAATCTGTTCTTCACTTCCACTGTATATTCGCTAGGAATGTTAGTGAGATCATATCTAACTGGTCTGTGTATTTTCCCTGATCTTTTTAGTTTTATTCTAAACTGAGCAATAAGAAGTTCGTGATCTGAGCTACAGTCAGCCCCAGGTCTTGTTTTCACCGACTGGATGGATGTCCGCCACCTTTGGCTGCAAAGGATGTAGTCAATCTGATTACGGTGTTGACCGTCTGGTGAGGTCCATGTGTAAAGCCGTCTTTTAGGTTGTTGGAAGAGAGTATTCGTTATACACAGCGAGTTTTCCTGGCAAAATTCTATCAGCCTGCGTCCCGCTTCATTTTGTTCTCCCAGACCATGCTTGCCTGGAATCGCTGTTGTCATTTGACTTCCCACCTTGGCATTCCAGTCTCCTGTAATGAAAATAATGTCTCTTTTTGGTGTATTATCCAGTAGGTCCTGCAGATCCTCATAGAACTGATCTACTTCTGCTTCTTCAGCAGCTGTGGTTGGGGTTTCTTTTAATGATAATGTTTAATGGCTCAGCTTGAACTTGAATTGAGATCATTCTATCATTTTTTGGATTGTATCAAAGCACCACTTTAGCATAATTAATAATAATTAATAATAATTATGAAGGATACTCCATTTCAGTTTTCTTCTTGTCCACAGTAGTAGATCTGGTGGTCATCTGTTGTGAAGTGGCCCATTCTAGTCCATTTCAGTTCACACAGACCCCCCCCCAGAATGTCTACCTTTAATCTTGACATCTCACCAATAACAACATCCAGTTTGCCCCAGCTCATAGATCTTACATTCCAGGTTCCCACAGTGTGTTCATTTTCAGTGTGTTCATTGGATTCATCATTGTTCACCTCCAGTACCGTCGGCCGCTAGCCTTCCTTTCAGCTTTGAGCTAGCTGCGTCATCACATCTGGGGCTAGTTGAACTTATCCTCTGCTCCTCCCCAGTAGCATTTTGGCCATCTTCCGACCTGGGAGTCCATCTTCCAATGGCATACCGACATATCTCTGGTTGTACTGGTCCATTTAGTTTTCTTGGCAAGGATACTGGAGTGGTTTGCCATTGCCTTCCCCAGGGATCATGCTTGGTCTGACCTCTCTGCCACAACCGTCCCGTCTTGGGTGTCCCTTCACAGTTTCGCTCATGACATCATTGAGGTGCTCAAGCTCCAGCGCCCCGACAAGGCGGTGATCCTTTGCTGGATCAAGAAACCTTTACCTTCACCTTAATTTTCTGTCGCTGGAATGGGCTCGAAGGGAAGATGTACAGCTTTTCTCTTCATTAAGCAATGGAAAGAATAGGATGCTACAGAACAGTGTACAGTATATATGAAAAAGGCACAGGGAGTTATAAAAAGATTATTGGCAAACTAAATGAATTATCCCTTACTTAACCAATTATCCCTTATGAGAAAGTTGGTGATGTTTAAAGAGTTTAATCAATCAATTGATTACAATTTGACAGACAGCAACAAATGACATTTTAAGGTAAAGGGACCCTAGAACAGCTCCATTGGTTCTACATATGTCATATGTGATATATCTTTGTCCTCCTGGCCTTCCTTTAGTAGGCTTCTGATGTTTCTATTGGGTCCAGTCTTGTCCTTCTAAGCCCCCTGCCCATCCTCCATTCCTAGATCAAGGGAAGAAAATTGGGTAGCAAACTCCAGACAAAGCATGGGCAGGATCTAGTCGCCACTGTGAAATTTTCAAAACTTCGGTGACTTCAGTGGGACCCTTAAGAATATGTTTCATCCTCAGTGGACAACCTTGGTCTTGAGTTCAAATGTGGAAAGGAAACCAAATAGAGTGGGTTAAAAAAGGATCATTGTCTGAATGCTTCTAAGCTCCTGAGATGATTCCTACAGAAGCTCAACTAGCAAACAACCTGAGTGGTCCAATTTTGGTAGGTGTTTTCAGAAAGGGCTCAGTTCCACCATGCCTAGTACTGGAGGGGGAGGGGCGGCATCCAGATAGGGACATGCTGTTCTGAACCATAGACTCATACAGTTGAAAGAGACCCAAAGAGCCATCCATCCAGTCCAGGCATGTCTTCATGTCATGTGGACCTCAAATCAGAGATTTGTTCCCTTATAATTAGGATCAGGCAATGCTGCAAAGCAGTGAAGATCTCGAACCTTGTTTCCAGTTGATGTTTTGAGTCTAAAATCTTGGGAGTTTGGATTCATGTTTTAAGAAGTTTCTATAGTTTTGCTTTTAGATTCATGTTCGTGTTTTGATTCTGGTTTTCCTGTACCTTGGTTTTATGGAACAGATTTGGACTGTTTGGATTATTGCCTTTGGGGTGTTTTTTTTTTCCTATTGCCAGGTTGGTTTGGCTTATTACCTGTTGACTATTTTTCCCATTACCTATTGGATTTTGCCTTTCTTATTTCTTAAGGTGACTTTTCCTTTTTATAGGTGCTCTTCTCAATAAAGTGTTTTACTACTACTTTTTAATTCCTGGCTGGTGTTGAGTGCAAGGTGAATTCTGGCTGGGGTGCAACACAAGCTAAACATACCCAACTCCTCATAGGGCTTGGCTTCTAGACCTTTGACCATTTTGGTTGCTCTCATCAACACATATTGTAGCTTGTCAATATACTCCTTGCACTGTGGTGTTCAGAACTGGACATAGTATGCCAAGTTAGGTCTCATCAATGCAGAATACAGTAGGACTATGACTTCCCTCTATCCAAACAATACACTCCTATTGATGCAGCCTAGAATCACATGCAGCATAGGGTTAGCAGTGGTTCTCAACCTGAGGTCCCCAGATGTTTTGGGCTTCAACTACCAGAAATCTTAATAGCTGGTAAACTGGCTGGGATTTCTGGGAGTTGTAGGCCAAAAACATCTGGTGACCCCAGGTTTTTGTTTTTGTTTTTTTGTTTTTTTTGTCATGTCAGGAGCAACTTGAGAAACTGCAAGTCACTTCTGGTGTGAGAGAATTGACCATCTGCAAGGACGTTGCCCAGGGGATGCCCGGATGAATTGATGTTTTTATCATCCTTGTGGGAGGCTTCTCTCATGTCCCTGCGACATGTCCCTGGGGTCCCTGGTTCTCAACCTGAGATCCCAGGTTGAGAACCACTGGGTTACAACCTGTGCTGGATGGGGTTACACTCCCCCTTAAAGTGAAGGTTCGCAGTTTGGGAGTGATCCTGGACTCGTGGCTGAGCCTGGAACCCCAGGTCTCAGTCGTGGCCAAGCGAGCTTTGATATTGATATGGAGGTGCAACAAAAAATTACCCCAGGGCACACCTAAAAACTATCAGGTCATCAAACACCAATCAAGGTAGCCAATTGAACTGTTGCACCTCCATATCAACATCAGCTAAAAGATGAATCCCCAAGACTGGGCTTAGTTTCCAACAGACCTCACAACCTCTGAGGATGCCTGCCATAGATGCAGGTGAAACGTCAGGAGAGAATGCTTCTAGAACATGGCCATACAGCCCGAAAAATCTACAACAACCCAGTGATTCTGGCCATGAAAGCCTTCGACAATCCATCGGGCCTTCTTGTCCTTATATCCTGACACTGCTGTAAGGTTATCCTTTCCTCCTCGGTATCGCAGGCCTTAGCTGGGAAGCTGTTTAAAGGGCGTCTGCTCCAAGTCGGCGCCCCATTCCCCAAGTCCCCCTCCCGCCGCTCTCCTCATCTTGGAATAATCAGAGGCATTAACTGAGGTCGAGGAAACAGGCTCTGGGGTTAGTGGTGGGAGGCTGTGAAAATCGGGGCGGTGGGGAAGCTGCCCTTCGAGGAAACTTGATCGCTATTCATCAAGCGGGGAAGACGAGAAGGGTGATCGGAGGGAGGGGGAGGCAGGCGAACCCTCCTGAGCCCCGGCTCCTGTCGACCCCGCCTGGGTCTCTCGGATTCAATTATCCCATTGATCAAGGTAAGAAGGAACCTCCTCCACTTCCAACCGGACCAGAGTTGGAAGTAGTTCCTTTTAGGACTACATCTCCATGATCGACTCCAAAATAGCATTTACGAGAATACACTGCCCAGCATGTGCAAAGTGGGGTTTTTGACTCCAACTCCCAGAAGCCCAAACCAGCATGCACCCTAGAATTGTAAGATAGGTAAAGGTTTTCCCCTAACATTACGTCCAGTCCTGTCTGACTCTGGGGGTTGGTGTTCATATCCATTTAGGTAAAGGTTTTCCCCTAACATTAAGTCCAGTGATGTCTGACTCTGGGGGTTGGTGTTCAACTCCATTTCTTAGCCGAAGAGCCAGCGTTGTCCGTAGACACCTCCAAGGTCATGTGGCCAGCATGACTACCTTCCCGCCTGAGTGGTACCTATTGATCTACTCATATTTGCATGTTTAAGAACTGCTAGGTTGGCAGAAGCTGGGGCTAACAGCAGGAGCTCATACCGGATTCGGATTCAAACCTGGGACCTTTCAGTCAGCAAGTTCAGCAGCTCCGCACTTTAACCCACTGCTCCACCGGTGCGCCTGTCTTGTAGGATGCATGCTGTAGGTATTATATCTCCCAGGGTGTATCTCAGGCATGAGCAAACTTGGGTCCTTCCAGTGTTTTGGACTTCAGCTCCCACCATTCCGAACAGCCTTAGGTCCCTTTCTTTTCATAAAAGTTTTCATTTTCGCTTAAGCAGCTGAGGGGGGAAAGGATGGGGCCCGAGGCTATTAGAAATGGTGGGAGTTGGGAGTCCAAAACCTCTGGAGGGCCCTAGTTTGCCCATACCTGAAATACACTCCCCAGAACCCACCCACCCACTTAATCCAACTTTTACAATATGAAAGAACACTATCCCCCAAATACTCACAATTTGGGGTTTTGTGCCCAGCCAGAACTGCCATTTGCCTCTCTCCCAGGGCGAAAAGCTCTCTAGTTCTCCTTCCAAGGCATCTGGTTCTCTTTAGCTTTTCTTGTGTTTGTTGTTTGCTCTTGTTGTCTTGTCTGGAGCTTGGGGAGAAGAAGCAAAGGAGGGGGGAAGCAACAAGGATTTTGAGAAATGGCTATTTGGAAAAAGCAGGAATCTCCACAGGCTTCTGGAAGCATGACCCTTCTGGAGATGAATTGGCATTCACACTATTTGGAATAATCATAACCTTTGGAAAAGCATGACCTTATTAGAGATGCTAACATTTGTAAAGTATGATCTTCCTCAGAAAAGTTAAAAACTCACTTGAGTCAACTTCCTCTTCAGTGGTAAATATCCACTAGTATTCATACAAGGCAATTTGGTTTCTCAACTGTTAGACTGATATACCTAGATATCTCTTTGAACTGTAAGGGACAAAGATATGCCGATGCAAAAAAACAAAACAAACAAACAAACATTCTGTGAGGTCAGACAGAAGTGTTATTTCTGTTTCCCAAAAACATCTACTCTCCCTTAAAACATCATGGTTTAAATCATGCTCTCAAGAGACCAAAAATAAAGTAGTCTTCATTAAAATAACACAGTTGGTTTACTCCCAAACTTTATCTATTCAGCATACAGATATATTGCTTATCAATCCAGTTACATATAGGTTTTGACATAGTTTCTCTGTGCAGATAATACAGGGCATCTTTCTTATAATCAACAGTCCAAAGTCGAAAACATCTCTCTAATCTAAGAGTCTAATGGAGTCTGTAAAGCATACCGTTTTTAAAATGGAGTCTGAGGTCTGAATAGTCCCAGATCTGATCACATGGTGTGCAGCCCCTTCCACAACATAGAGTTAAGGAAAACTGCATACACACCTATACAATACAGTAAGCAATCTGAATTATATACATAACAAATAACTAGTGGAAGTTTGAAGAAGGTTGCTATTTCCAACAGAGGAAGGAAACATAGGATCTTTGATATTCAAGATCCAGATTTCTAATTTGGTTTTTTTTGGGGGGGGGGGTGGCAGCAGCATCCTAGATTTAGGATGTACCTGTCCAAGAATGCATTTCCACTATAGAATGAATGCAGTTTAATCCCTCCTTAACTGTCATGGCTCAATTCTATAGAACGATGGGTGTTGTAATTTGGTGAGGCATCACCGCTCTTTGTCAGAAGAGGCTTAGGACCTTATAAAACTGCAATTCCCAAGGTTCTATAGTATTAATGCAGTTTGACTGCCCTGGCCACCTCTATGAAATCTTTATTTATTTATCGTGTCATCCGCAACCAGAACATTGTATTACATTTCTAACAGAACAAAACAAACAGATTAAAAAAATCTTGAAATCTTGAGACTTATAGTTTAACAAGGTCTTTAGATTTCTCTGCCAGAGTGCTGTGCCTCAGCAAACTTCAGCTCCCAGAATTCCATCACATTGAGTCATGGCAGTACAAGTGGCATCAAACTGCTTTAATTCCAGAGTATAGATTCACCCTCAGATGCTATTAAAACACAGAGCCAAGAGATGTTACTCATTTTCCACTAGAAGTCCCAGAATCCCCCAGGAGCCATTAGGTGAAAGAGGGGAAAGGATGATGCAAAATAATTCAGGCCATTGGCTGCACTGGCTATGGGATTATGAGTGGGATAGTTCATACCAAAACAGCCAAAAGTGCAAATCATACAAAAAAAGTGAAAAAATAAGGGGTGCAAATCCTGCTGGTTAGTCCCAAGCTAAGCTGGTCCTTTAAATTGTGAGGTCAGACATTGGCATGCCCTATTGATTATTAAAAAGAGGCAGGATGGCCATGTGTGGGGATGCTTTGGTGGTGCTTTTCCTGCATTAAGGCAGAAGGAGGTTGGACTAGATGACCCTTTTTGTCTCTTCCAACTCCATTATTATTATTTGAAACACAACATTATTATTATTATTTGGATCACACGGCAGACACTTCCCAAGTGTCTAGGACTTCCCAAGTGATGTATCAGCAAATAATGTGTGCAGATCCCAGTTATTATTATTATTATTATTATTATTATTATTATTATTATTATTAAGCAGAGGCAGGGAACCTCTACTGGTAACAAGCAACAGAATTCGACATAATTTGTAATCAGAATTGTGTGAGTTATGGGCCCAGGAGTTGCCTGCATGGAGATGATTGCAAACTTCTCTAAGTGTATATCAATCTACACTATAATCATGCCCTTTGACACTGCTTTATCTGCCATGGCTCAGTGTTATGGAATCTTCCAAGATCAGGCCTTTGGTTATTCAGACCTTGTATGTAAGCTGATATATAGCTATAATCTAATTTTTAGAAATATACACGACTAGCTGTACCTGCCACTCGTAGCAGTGGCCATACCTTCCCTCCCTCTTTCTCTCCTTTCTTTTTCTCCTTCCTTCTCTTCCTCTTCCCTTCTTCCTTCCCTTTTCTTTCCCTTCCTCTTTCTCCCCTTTCTTCCTTCTCTACCTATTCTTGAATTGCTACTCCCTGCAATCCTCCTGATTCATCTATCTACTTACCTATCTATCTTTGTCTAATCTGTCTATCTATCTATCTATCTATCTATCTATCTATCTATCTAGCTATCTATCTATCTTATCTATCTGGAAGATTGCTGGAAGTTGCAGTCTAGGAATAGGAAATTGGAAATATGCAGGGATTGGGATGCTCTCAAAGAAATCCAAGAAGAAAGCTTACAGCTTGGAAGCAGTGCATTTGGATCATCCTCCTCTCCTAAAGGGCCTGGTCTGGGGGATGCTGGGAGCTGTACTCCGAAAAAGAGTGTGGATATACTTTTGTGTGGTTTTTTTTTTGCCAGAGGGAGTTGTTTTTACATATGCACTGTAGCATCTTTTTGCTTTTTTTTTTTTTTTTTGGCCTTTTAAGTCTTTTCTGTTGTATTTTTCAGTGTTTTGATGAGTGATGGTGACTCGTTGGCCTAATAGGTGTATTGTGTTCAAATTTTGTGTCAATTTGTCCAGTGGTTTTTGAGTTATGTAAATCCCACAAACAAATATTACATTTTTATTTATATAGATATGTAGTGATTATTTTCCAGAGGCACCCCATCATTTCCATCTTTCCTTCCCGACACAGTGAGAGGGTGAATCTACACTGTGGAATGAATACAGTGTGATATCACTTCTTAAACAGTCTTGGCTGAATGCTATAGAGTCCTGGAATATATAGCTTAGTGAGGCAGCAGCACTCTTTGTCAGATGAATGTAAAGACTTCGTTAAACTACAACCCTCATGATTCCATAGCACTTAAAGTGGTGTCAAATTGCATTTGGTTCTATAGTGCAGATGCACCCCTGGTCTGGCCTCCTGCTCAGACTTGGGCCAATAAAGCAGATTTGTTTAATCAGTTAGGGGACTGGGCCTGTTGTGTTCCTAGAAGAGAAGGCAGCTGTGAGGACTAGACACACACACACAAGCAAAGAGTTTCCAGTCTAAGTTTTCAAAGGGGAGGGGGGCTACAAAGGCAATCAAGGGTGGCCCCATTAACCCAGAGGCTATCGGGTTGCCCAAGAGGAAAGGGCGGGCAGTTGGGTTTCCTTCCTCTCCATCTACAGTTAGCCAGGTCCCTTTCACTCTTCCCTGTCAAATTAATACAGTTTGACACTACTTGGACCCCAGTTCCTTCCATCCATCCATCTATCTCTCAATCTCCATTTCCACCTCCACCTCTACCCTCATCCCTATCTATCTCTGTATCTCAATCTATCTCTTTATCCCTAGTCCTAGCCCAATAACAACAACAATAATAATATTTTTATTAAAACATATTTTATTATAAAATAAAAATAATTTTCCTGGGAAAAATTGAGAGCCAAATTGACAAAGAAAAAACATGGTTGTGGCACACAAATAGAACTTTGAAAAAGGAGACAGAGGGCTTGATTCTGGCAGCCCAAGAACAAGCCATTAGAACCAATGGCCAGAATTGAAAAGTCAGAATTGAAAAGTCAAGGACAGATCCCAAATGTAGACTCTGCAAGGAAGCAGATGAAACAATAGATCACATCCTCAGCAGCTGCAAGAAGATCAAGCAGACAGACTACAAGCAGAGGCATAACACCCTTGCTCAGATGATTCATTGAAACCTGTGCCACAAATACCATCTGCCTGCGGCAAAGAACTGGTGGGATCACAAGCCAGAAAAAGTTACAGAAAATGAACATGTCAAGCTACTCTGGGACTTCCGAATTCAGACAGACAGAGTTTTGGAGCACAATACCCCTGACCTCACAATTGTGTTAAAGAACAAAGTATGGATTGTTGATGTTGCAATCCCAGGTGACAGCAGGATTGAAGAAAAACAACTGAAAAAGCTGACACAATATGAGGATTTAAAGATTGAAATGCAAAGACTCTGGCACAAGCCAGTCAAGGTGGTCCCAGTGGTGATTGGCACACTGGGTGCAGTGCCTGAAGAACTTGGCCTGCACTTAAACACAATCGGCGCTGACAAAATTACCATCTTCCTGCTGCAGAAGGCCACCTCACTGGGATCTGCACACATTATTCGCAGATACATCACACAGTCCTAGACACTGTGTCTAGGACTGTCCAACATGTCCAACATGTTGGACATGAAGTGTCCAACATGTATCCAATACAACAGCCAGCAGAGTGATCTTGTCTGCTGTGGACTCATCTTGCTGTGTTTCAAACAACAACAACAACAACAATAATAATAATAAACTTTATTTATACCCCACCACCATCTCCTCAAAGGGGACTTGGGGCACTAACATGAGGCCAAGCCCTAGCCCTGTCTCTGTCTATCTGTCTGTCTGTCTATTTATCTATCTATCTATATCTATCTATCTATCTATCTATCTATCTATATATATATATATATATCTATCTATGGGATTGGAACTCTAGGCGCCCAGATTCCAGTACCAGCTCTGCCATAGAAACCCACTGGGTGACCTTGGGCAGGTCATACATTCTCAACCTCAGAGGAAGGCAAGGGCAAACCCCATTTGTACAAATCTTATCGGGTTGCCTTAGGGTCGTGGTAAGTTGATTTGGAAGGCTCACATCAAGAGCATCCTGGCTT